CCTTTTAACAGAGGACGGTGAGCCATCAACATACCAGGAGGCAATAAACAACTCAGATGCTTCACTGTGGATGATGGCGATGCAAGAAGAAATCGAAGCCCTTCATAAAAATAATACATGGGACCTTGTTCCACTACCACAAGGAAGGAAGCCAATTGGTAACAAATGGGTTTTCAAAATCAAGCGAAATGGTGACGATCAAGTGGAGAGGTATCGTGCAAGACTGGTGGTCAAAGGATATGCTCAGAAAGAAGGTATTGATTTCAATGAAATTTTTTCTCATGTGGTTCGACTAAAAATAGTTCGAGTAGTCTTGGCAATCTGTGCTACATTGAATTTACATTTGGAACAACTAGATGTTAAAACAGCTTTTCTTCATAGAAATCTTGAAAAAGAGATTTATATGCTCCAGCCTAAAGGTTTTGAAGAAGACGAAAAGAAGAACTTGGTTTACAGGTTGAACAAATCTCTGTACGGTCTAAAGCAGAGGTATTGGTATAAGAGATTTGATTCCTTCATTATGTGCCTTGGATACAACAGACTTAATGCAGACCCTTGTGCTTATTTCAAGAGGTCTGGTGATAACGATTTTGTTATATTGTTGTTGTATGTGGATGACATGTTGGTTGCAGGACCCAACAAAGATCATATTGAAGAATTGAAGGCACAACTGGCTAGGGAATTTGAAATGAAGGACTTGGGATCAGCAAACAAGATTCTAGGGATGCAAATTCACCGAGACAGAAGTAATAGGAAGATTTGGCTTTCACAAAAGAATTACTTGAAGAAAATCTTGTCACGATTTAGCATGCAAGATTGTAAGCCAATTTCTACCCCTCTTCCTATTAACTTCAAATTATCCTCCAGTATGAGTCCTAGCAGTGAAGAAGAGAGGATGGAGATGTCTCGAGTACCGTATGCATCAGCAGTGGGAAGTTTAATGTTCGCTATGATATGCACAAGACCAGACATTGCACAAGCAGTGGGAGTGGTTAGTCGGTACATGGCGAATCCAGACAAAGAGCATTGGAATATTGTAAAGAGGATCCTAAGATACATCAAAGGGACCTCAAATGTTGCAATATGTTACGGAGGATCAAACTTACTAATCAATGAGTATGTAGATTCTGACTATGCAGGGGATTTGGATAAAAGCAAATCTACTACAGGGTATGTGTTCAAAGTTGCTGGTGGAGCTGTAAGCTGGGTTTCAAAATTGCAGTCAGTTGTGGCTACGTCCACAACAGAGGCAGAATATGTAACAGCTACACAAGCCAGTAAAGAAGCAATTTGGTTGAAGATGCTATTGGAGGAGCTTGGGCACAATCAAGAGTATGTCTCTCTGTTTTGTGACAGTAAAAGCGCCTTGCATCTAGCAAGGAATCCAACATTTCATTCAAGGACTAAGCACATACGAGTTCAGTACCATTTCATTCGTGAAAAGGTGGAAGAAGGAACGGTAGATATGCAGAATATCCATACCAAAGACAACATAGCAGATTTCATGACGAAGGCAATCAATGCTGATAAATTTACCTGGTGTCGATCCTCTTGTGGCCTGTCAGAAACGTAAGCAACATGAAATGTACAAGGTAGAAAGAATGGTGTGAAGATATGATTGTTCCAATCAAATCTTCAAGTGGGAGATTGTTGAAAATTGGCACACCAAATTGCATCAATTGTCAACATTATGGGTGGCAATTTGGTGGCATTAATGGGGTGGCAAAATTGGTCAAAATTGGCCACCAATTTGTTGAAAATTTTGGATGGTAAAACTATGCAATTAGTCATTGTAATTTAGGGTATTTACAAATTAGTCCTTAAAGCTTCAACTATAAATACCCTAGCTCATTTAGCTTCAAAACCATCCCAAAGCATTCTAGCTTTCTTCCAATACTAGAGAGATTTTAGAGAGTTTCTTGAGAGTTGTTTTCTCCTTTTTTTTCTAGAGAGAATTATTATTGTTTTCTCCTTAGTAGATCGAGAGAGGTTGTAATTCTTATTTTCTCATGGTGAAATTCTTCTACCGTTGCCCGTGGTTTTTACCCTATATTTTTTAGGGGTTTTCCACGTAAATTTTGTCTCTTTTATCTTCATTTTTATTTTCTCAAATTATCAGTTGCGATTTTGCTCTATCCGATAGCCGTCTTCCGCAACAAATAACCCATCAAAACTGTAAGAATCACCCTAGCAGCAAACTTATCTGAACGCTGAAGGTTGGTTGCATAACAAAGGCGCCCAAAAATTTTAAGATGGGACAGGGAAAAATCAGGTGGTTTATGATCGAAGACCTCAAAGGGACTTTTCCAATTTAAAACTGATGAAGTCTATTTATAATGTAATATGATGTCTGTACACACACCCCTCAAAACTTAACAGGAATAATGGAATGAAACCTAAGGGCTCGGGTTACTTCAAGAAGATGTTTATGTTTCCTTTCTGCCACTCCATTCTGTCGAGGAGTGCGCACGGATGAGGTTTGATGAATAATACCAAGGGATGAAAAAAAGAGGAGAACAATATGAGTTAAAAAATTCAAATCCATTATCTTTGCAAATATTTTTTACAGAAGTTGTGAAATGTTTCTGGACATAAGAAAGGAATTCTTTAATGAATAACACATCACTTTTAAGCCGAAGCAAGTACACCCAACAATACGATAATGATCATCAAATATTGTAAAAAAACCCTATGATCACTCTGAATAGATATAAGAAAGCAATCAGGCAATTTATCATCACACAAACTAACAGAGAACTAAATAAGTAGTTGATACAAACTCAATGGACTGGTTACCAACACCTAACACAAGAAAAACGGGTAACTCAAGTTTATCACTAGACTGTGAAGAAAATGAAGGAACTAAATTGCACTGGACAGAGGAAAACAAACCAAAACCGAAGCTTGAAGAATTAAAGAAGTATAACTCACGTGACTCATTACTAATCCCCCTCGTTCCATTGGAGAGATCATACAAGACGCAATGATCAGGATAAAAAATAATACGAAAATTAAGGTCTCGAGTTAGTTTTGAAACAGAAAGCATGTTATGAGTAAAGTGAGGCACAAAAAGGGCATTTGTAATAACAGTATGAGGATTAAACTGGTAAGAAGCAACATGGGTGATCAGAGTTGTTTTACCATTAGGCAAGGTGACCATTCTGGATTCGGAAGCACATGAACCAGGAGAAATCAATTTCCTAAAATCAAACAACATATGATCAGTAGCTCTCGTATCAAGTACCTACACAATAGAATCATGAGAAGCAGACATATGTTCGGTAACCATACCTACTCAACTGGAACTTGAACCAACTAGTGGTGTCTTGTTTAAGAGACTTAGAATATGTTGGTATTGCTCTAGTGTGAGAGTTGTAGTCGCAGATGAACCCACTTGATCAAGGGAACTTATAACACCCTAATCTGATCCGAACCAAAGTCTAGAGGATTCGAATGTCACACGGAACCACCGAAGTGACTAACCATTTTTTTAACTCAATAACCATAGCCGTCATTTAAAATAAATAGTTCAAATGCATTAATAAAATACTTTCTATAAAATCGAAGCTCCATGACTCATAATTTAAATAAAATAATACAATTTGAGCTTACAATCTCAAATACAAAAGTAAGAGTCCTATAAATACACATACCAACTAAGTAACTAAATAGTACTCTGTGAGGAATGTTGGAAGTACTATTTTAACAGTACACCTCGAACGGCTCAATATATTAACCTGTGAACGAAAACATCTGAACGTTGATCTTACAAAGCCTAGTAGTATAAAATCGCTAATCTAGAGCAGCATATGAATTACATAAAGATAAGCATACTAGAAGACAAGGTAATAAGTAGTAGGTGCAAGTATGATCCTAATCAAGTGCTACCTACATAAGACTCACAGTTCTACCTTTTTAGTGTAAGTCTCACACTTCCCTGAGTCTCTACTAAGGGCCTCGCTATGAGTAAACATACGCTAGGTTTCTAACCTCAGTATTATCCTACTATGTATCATCATGCAACACACAATTATAGTACCCGATATCACAAGGATGCCGGGTGCAACCACACAATAACAAGTAAGCATCATAGTGTAGCTCGGGGTCACATAGCATCACGAAACCCACAACCATATTTGCTACTAGAGGTACCTTGGGCAAGATCTGGGTCATAAATTAATCATCAAAAGATTATCATGTCGATCAAAATTTTCGTCAGAAGTATCACATTACATGTAAAGTGAATGTCTGATTTAGTCGATCAAAAAATTTCGAATTATTCGAGTTGAGTAGTCCTATTTTACAATTCAAAATTGACTTAAAATTTTCTTAAATCAATTTGAGTTTTAAAATTCGAGTCGAGTCGAATTTTTGAATTTCTTTTTAAATTTAATTGTAAATATTTATAATATTATGATATTATTTGATTTCAATTTAAATGATTTTTATAACTATATACAATACACATACATATTTATTCATATTTTTTCATTTGTGATATACATATATCATACATAGTTGATGGATTCGACGCAAATTTAAAAATCAATCTACTAATTACTAAAAATTTCAAGTTAATATTCAAGTTACTCGAGTTATATTTTATAACTCGATTTGAACTTGAAATTTTTTCAAATCAAGTTTATGAAATTATAACTAAAAACTAATTCAAGTCGAATTCTCGCGAGTCAAAACAAGTAAAAATAATAATTTTTTGAATCGAGCCAAGTTTTGCTCACCTTAATTATATGTTAAAGTAATGTATAATGTCTCAAATGACAAATTTATTATTAAAAATATTGAGAAAAAATTTCATTAAAATTAATAAAAAACAAATGAGATATTATTTTTAAATTTAAGATGTCATATCATCTCCCTTAATAGGAATTCAGAGTAGCTAAATATAGTGATAATTAGATAATCAAATAAAAAAAATTACATATCCAAGACATGTATGTCTTGGATACATATATCTGAGGACGCACACAACCTGGACCAGATAACATGGAAAACACCCACTAAATATAGAAGTTTTGCATATCCGGTACAGAGCCCAAAAAGTTTCGATGAGTCGAAAATAAGAGGAAAGGCGATACATAAAATTGAAAACAAACACAAAAATCTACAATCTTATGGTGTGTCTTTCAGCTATGCAAATCTTCTTTTCGACACAACACTCAAGTGTAACATTAAAGGCCATCTTTCTAGCCTACTACACATGCTTTTGGTACTCATCATTGTCGTGGAAAAAAGATTGAAAATTAAAATAAAATGAAACATGGAATGTAAAAAACTGGCGGGTAGTAGATCCAAGCGACTTCGGCAAACGATCAACAACTACCTGACTGTGTAATGGGGGGAACTCAGGAAAAGTGAAGTATCTAGAACCAGTTATTGCAGAGTTTCTTCAGAGGAAGTAATCGGGCGTTCTACGAGTAACATCGGGTTCTCCTCTCCTTGGAGCTGGCTCAAACTGCAGCGAGATTAACTTAACGGTTTTACAAACAGACAGAAAAGGCATCCGGGAATTCAATTGTGAAAGTTAGCTGGTGCTCCTTTAAGTTTAACCTTATTTTGTGTATGTGTGTGTGATATGAATAGAAAAGGGGAAGGAGGGTTAGAAAGACCTGGATGAATGTGTGATTTTTGCAATCATCAACTTCCAAAATTGAAGCCATGTTTCCGCAGCGATAACAATAATTAGGGGCACTGAATATAGTTACCACCTTTTGTTCCTGTTACAAGGAAACAATTAGGAACAAAAATACCCGAGCATTATATGCATTGTATAAAAGAAAATATAATAAAAATTTAACTTATAAGAAACGTGAATGGATTACATGTGCCCAGTTAAACCCATCCATAACCAGCTGATGTGCTCTAGCAATCAACTTTAAGCTGTTCGTGTGATTGAATTGTTCAGATATATCCTGTAGAGAAGACCATAAAATTTTGATACTATAATACTGGAAAGAAAAGCAAGACAGACAAAAACTTGAACAATGGTCGGTTCAAAGATCAATTACCTGGCCAAAAGTATATCCAGCACCACGAGGTGAGATGCCCCAACCACATCGATCATCTGGATCAGACCACAATAAATCACACATGGGCCCCTCGTGAGGAACTTCTTGGACGCGATCAAAGTTTCTTATGTTATCCAGGGTTTCAATTGAAGGGGACAATCCACCATGCAGACAAAATATTTCTGACTCCACCTAATGGAAACACCGAATCATTTTAACTACCATAATTTCCCTTCAGTTCTAGGAAGTACAAAGTTGAACATCACCAAGGAAATATATCTCTTTAGTTGGACTACACCAATATAATAATAAAGTTGGTTATCTGGATCTCATGATAACCATTAAATACAAGAAACAGCCAAATACTTCCATTACATTCAAGAAAGATTTGGTGTCATTTTTAAAAGATGTGATGAGAAAAACAAAGCAACCTAGCAATCCCAACATTTTCTTGTCCAACCAAAAAGAAAATTAGAGTTCTCGAAACTTAAAAATTCAATTAGAAATGAATATAATATAAGCTAATATAATACTAGTAGTCTGGTACAATAATAGAAGTATGGAGAACAAGAATAGTATTAAACTACAAAGACAAATGAAATAGAACTAAGACATAAATATAAAATATCAAAGATGCCAAGACCAATATGCATGTCATTGGTTCTTTCTTTCATACAATTTATGTTTCAAATCAAAGTAGTTTGCACCTCATATTAATTCTACTCACCAAAGCAGTTAATGGAAAATAGTCAAATAGGTCTGTAAAGATCTTCCAAACATTAGCATTACCGTACCTGTAAGTAAATCACCACAGAAAGAATTAAAATGGATTAACCATAGGAAGAAGCAAATAACTATTTCAAAATGACTCCAATTTATCTGAAGAGTAGAACTCCAGAATCTCAAATCTACTAGTTTTATTTATCATATCAGTCGATGCAGTACTATGGCAGTTTAATTTCTAAACTGGAAAAAAGAAGAATAGTGTAAAAATTATCATTGAAATGAAAATAGTTAAGTAGGAGGACTTTTAGTAGAGCTAACACATCTATGGCTCATAATACTACACCCTTTCAAAAGAAGGTTGGGCAGTAGAAACTCACTTTCGCAGACATTCATCATAAAACCCATAAACTTGAGTGATCTGCCAAAAAGAAAAAAGGACTCAAGGATTAGCCTGACATTCATATAATAGTTTGTCAAAAGTTCATAACAAACTTTGAATTAAGACTTGGATATGAAAAGTATGACACCTTGTCAAAATTTTGGTAATGTGTATGCCACACATATTTGCACAAGGTGGGAAGGAGTAGAAGAAGACAGATGTCATACCTGGCGGCTTTCATGATTTCCTCTGAGAATTGTAATCCGCTGCAGGTAACGGACCTTTAAAGCCACCAATAGCTGTTTGAGCAGAAAATAGGGTCATCCAAATGAAATGCACAAATGACTTACTACTTAAATCTGCTATTTAACATTTACAATTGTACATACCGTAACAGTTTCAACAGAATAGTACCCACGATCCACATAATCCCCCATAAACAAGTAGTTTGTATCTGGACACTGCCATTTAAGATAAAACCAACTGTGAGGCAGAGGCTAAATAGAAAGTCTGATCATGTGCATAGGAATTTTTTTTTAAAAAAAAAGAACAAGCAAATGTGAGTAATAGATGAGGTGAATCAATTATATGATAAGTTGTAATACATCCTAAGAATGCCTGAATGACACTCATAGGTCACAATCTAACAATTAAAAGAGGCAAAACATTAATTAGGAAAAAGAATAATCAAAACATAGCTCTTATGCATGAAAAAGGCAGACAAAATATAAACATCTGACACATTCAAGAGAGCATAAATTAAAATATTCACACAACGGCAACAAGATTCATCTACAGATCTCCAAATTTCAAAACATTGAGTTCTTGGTAATTACTAATTATATTACACACGACCCCGTTGAAACAGATCCGAATACAGATAAAAAAGGAGTCACGGTTAGAACAAGTACCTTCCCTCCAATTCGAAAAAGTTCAGCAAGATCATGAAATTGTCCATGAATATCGCCACAAATTGTCACAGGACTTTTAACAGGCTGTGATAAAATAAAGTAAAATACATCAACATCTTCCCCGCTCAAAGATGAGCAATCTCAACATTTCCAAAGTTCACTGGTAATTGAACACATATAGACCAGTGTTCCCTGAAATTTGAAACTAAAGACCAGCTAACATAATAAACCTGGACGTTGCTTTCTTGCATTAATATTTCCTTTGCCTTGTCGCATAATGCTTTGACCTGACAAGGCAACACGAATAAAATTACTAACAGTTATATTCATTCAAGATACAAAAACGGACTTCCATTTACCAAACTGAGAACAACATTTTTCCTTGAAGATGCCTTGATTTCTCTCGAAATCACTAGAGTCAAATAAATAAAAATTTTGATTCATTTTTCTGCTTTAAAATGAGATAAAAAAAAGTTGCATTATTTTATTAAATGACTTAAATAAATGTAAATCAAAATTTAAATAGCAAGAAAAATTACTATCATACATTGAGAACAGGTTAAACGCAACAATTTTCCGCGCAAGTACCCCGATTTCTTTCACAATTACTGACATCGCATAATTCGAAAATTGATTTTCTCTTTCTGCTTAGAAATGAAGAGAGAAAAAAAGCAGCAATTTCTTCTAAAATTAAAATACCAATAAATTTACTATTACATATTGAAATTTTGTAATACTGAATTCAATTCAAAATCATTTCGGATATTCATTTCGCAGCAGAACAGAGCCTAATAATAGGTCAGTTACAAATAAAAAATCCCGTTCTTTCTAGGGAAACAAGCAGATCGTGAGATAAAAAAAGCGCACCTGCTGCTCGGGAAGTGGCTTACACTGCATGAGCTGCGAGATCTGCTCATCAAGATCGGTCGTTGCGTCCGTTGGTGACGGATTAGCCCCCATCTTTGATTTATCAGTTCAAACAATCGAAACCGGAAATCGCTATCCGGATTAGGGATAACGCTAACCTGGCTTGAATTGGGATTTTTTTTCTTTATTTAATAATGTTTTTAATATCCTCTCTCTCCTTTTCGATTTTTTCTCTCTGCACTCTTTCTACGGACTCTTTTTGCTTCCTCTCACGAAGGCAAAATGAGAGCGCGCGTTAATCGAAGCCGCGAATGGAGCGCGTAGAAACCAGTGTATTATAGTTCATCGTTATTTTAATATCCTATCTAATTATTTTTTTAAAATCATGTTATAATTTAGTTTCATTTTGATCTTTCACCGTTAAAATAACGATGATGCTAATGTAATATTTTTTTAATTTTTTAATGATGATATAATATTACCTTATAGTGACATATTAACATCACCGTTAATTTTTTGACGTTGGATAACCAAAATAAAACTATATCTAAATATTAATTATTATTTTAAAAAATTGGTTGAATGACCAAAATAAAATAAAAATGATAATTAAAGAACTAAACTATAATTTACTGTATAATTTATAACATATGAGATCAGATTGGATTATAAGCCTTACATCAATAACTCTAAAACAATTTTATTATTTAAGAAATAAATAATATGTTAAATTTTATATAAAAGAGTATCAGAATTATCAAAACAAAAAATTTATTGAATATTTTTTTGTGGAAAAACAATGTTGTATTTTGTTTTCTTTTTCAATTCATTTGTTATATCTATTTGGAAAAAAAACACAATTTAAAGAAAAAACACTGAAGAGGTTTTAAAATATATACTTTAAAAACTTTTATGAATTAAAATAATTTATTATAATTTTTTAGAAAAAAGAAATCAATAAATCAACATTTAATGATTGGATTGAGAAGTAAAAGAAAATGTCAAACTTATCTATAAAAAAACAAAACTATTACAAATATATGATAAAAAAACAAAACTATTACAAATATATGATAAAAAAACATATTACAAATATTATTAAAATTACATTAGAAACTACCATGCTGATAATACCAAATTATACCGAAAACAAAAATTATATAAATGGTTAAAGAAAATAATATAAAAGCTATCAAATTTATGTTGAAGGTTAGTTAAATTATTGATTTGATCTTCCTGGTTTAAAGGCTAAAATTTATTATTGATTTAAAAATAAAAAAATTAATCAATTTTTAATTACTTTGCTAATATTAATAATTGATAAATAGTTTGGTGGAAATAACAAGGCTTGGCCAGAATGAAATTTACAACAAAGATGGAGTAACAGGTGAAAATATAATAAAAAATAGAATCTTGAAACTGAATCAATAAAGAAAATGAAAGTACAAAGATTGGTATCAAAATTGACAATTCCTAAAATCATGGATAAAAAAGCATAAACTGAAGTTTTACATGCTTGTTATTGCACAACATCTCCCTACTCAGAATAATGTCATGTTAGCATTGGAAACAAACTAAACAAGGTTCGTGTTACCCCATTAAAAGATTGGGAAAATCTTCCTACTTGGAATAATGTCAATCGGACATTATGCAGCATGACATCGAAACACGCATATAATCGTCATTCGATATTGTGATTCATGCTAAGATTATAGATGAAACCTATTAATTGTAAATACCTCAAGTTTTGTTCTTCTTTCCCTTTCATTGCAGCTGCATGGATGACTCTATCAGGTAAAAATCGTTACTTCTTATCGAATTAATCTTCCGCATCGGAGGTTTCCTCGTCGTATTCATCACCTGTTCCAAACCCTTCAAATTCTTCATCTTCACTTTCATCTTCTTCTTTGTCTTCCACACTGTTCTCTGAGTCTTTAAGTAAAAAGTCTTCGCGAGGTATCAGATTCGCATCTTTACCACGATAAAGAAGGCCGGTCCTCATTACGTGATAAAATTTCTGTCTTATACGAACAAGAGGATGCGGGTTCACGAGTTTTCCCCGTCTGTACCCTTCCTTGAGAGCCACAGTTGTAGTTTTGCACTTCAATGATAGGTAAAATGATCCCGGGATATCTAGTAAATACTCGAGTGAACTTATGTGGGATGTTTAGTTCCTCTCTCAAGTTTCTCAAGTAGTTCCTCTTGGTCTTCTTATGGAACGTCAAGCTCAAAAACTCATGCAATACACCAACAGGCAACAGCCCTTTTCTCCATAAGTTCACTATTTGGATCGATATGCCGATAATCTTCATACGGAGGTATGTAGGGAAGCTTCTGAAACTCCATCCAAGCTCTCACCTTCTTTTGTGCTCCGTAACCCCTCGGGAAATTCGTTGGGAACACCAATGTTGTTTGGCCCCTCTTAAATTGCCTGTACTAATAGCCCGTCTCGCCGCTCTCATTACTTCTTTCCAATGCTGAAACAGCAAATTCCTCTCGCCACCGTGCAAGTCTCAAAGCGGAAACACCAGTAGGTGCCTTAACAAAGCTGAAATGATCTGGATATCTCGGAATTAACACTTTCTCGAAGTTATCAGGCAAACCGAGATCCCATTTCAAAGCATGAAGGGACTGAAGAGGTGCAGTCCTAGTTCTCATCATCATAAGCACCCTGGAAATCCTCTCTATTGTACCATTCTTGTAATCACCATTTTTTACCTTTCATACCCAGCAGCCCCTCCACGTTTCAAACAACCCAGCATCCCCTCCAAGTTTCAAGTAAACCAGCAGCCCCTTCCGCCACAACAAATTCCAGCAGCTTTCACCAACAACAGTTGGTCCTCTACAACAGCCACACATACAAGGAGAAAGAAAAAATCATCTTTGATTATTCTTTTGTAAACTGAGGCTATAAAAACCTCAAAACAATATGTAAAATAAAAAAAAATCAAGAGAAATACACACCAAATTGAAAAAAAAAAAGCACTACAAAGTTTATTTTTACATTTGGTTTTATTTTTTCAGCTTTATATTTTATTTTTATTTATTTTCAAAAAAAAGTAAGTTAAATAAATAAACTGAAAAGAGAAGACTTGAAAGCTTTAGGGTGTTTTGTGTGTGAAATAAGGAGGAAGGAGATGAGTTTTAAGTTTATAAAACTTTTGGGTAAACCATACATCAGGTCTCTACACTTTGGAGTTCATTACTTTATTCACTTAAAATAGGAAAAATCACGAAATAATCCCTCTAATTTAGGCGCATATTTACACTTTAGTCCTTGATTTCTCTGTTTTTTTAATTATTCCGAAATTTCCTACTATATTTTTATTTTATTTTATTTTGATCTCTTTTCTTTATTTTATTATCATTTTAGTCATTAATTTAGGGAATAATCATGAGAGTGGTTTCCAAAATTCGTTGGTCTTTTCCTTTTATTTTACTAACTTTTAATATGACCTCCTAACTTTATTTTTATTTATTTTCATCCCTATTTATAGTAATATTTTGTGCCCTTGTTGTTTTATTTATATTCGAGTTTTTTTTTGTTTTTTTTTAATATTAATACTTTTATTTTATGCAATTTTAATTTAAGAATTCATTTAATTTTTATGTCTTTATTATTTATATTATAGCATTTAAATTTCTATATTTTTTATTCTAATCTTTTATTGTGACAAATATATCGCAATACTTTTATTTCACTTTATTTTCTATTCATTTTATTTTAGTCCTATGAATATATATGAAAAATTCATAAGCATAACTTGATCAATTTCATAATTTGATTAATGATAATATTTATTTTTAAATATTAAGAAATGATTGTCTTAACATAACTAGATGTCATATTTTAATATTTAAAAATGAATAAATGTTTTGTTTATAAAAACCTAAAAAGTATATTAATTTATTTTTAGTTATATCAAATTATTTTAATATTATTTCTTGGGAAGAATTATCACATTTTTTATTATTTCGGTCGGAAAGAGAAATATTCGTCCTAAAACATTTTAGGGAATAATTTCTCTTCGATTGAAAATATTGGAATATTTTCTATTTTAGAATTTTCTTTAAATAAATTATGCGATTAAATATGGAATAATGAGATTATAAATTAAAATCAAATATAAATTTGTTAATTTATTGCAAAGACATTAATTAATAAACAAGGTACCAATTTTGGGCGTTATGGGGGTGTTAATCCTTCCCTACACGTAACCGACTCCCGAACTCATTTTCTAGTAAGTAGACCCTTTTTTGTTATTTTAATATTATTTTTATAAAATTTATTAAAATAACATAGCATTTTTGGTGACCAATCACACCTCGATAAAATGATTGGTGGAAACTCTACAAATTGTGTTTTATCTTATACCAGAAGAAAAACACTTACTTTTTCGAGACGAGATTTAGAAAGCAACGACACTTGTTTTCGTCGGGCGAAATATCTTCTCGGCAACTTGGCGACTCTGCTAGGGATATTTTTTAAAGAGAGTCAAACCATCAGTTTATTAATTAATTGTCTTTGCAATAAAAATTATAAATTTGTTTTAATTTTGTTTTAATTCCTTGATTATTTTAATAACCATTTTCTGTATAAATAGTTGTACTAACTGGTTTGCTATTGTTTTCAGGTTTAATTATATGTCTTTATATTGAAAGAATAAATTTGTTTGTTGTACATTATTTGTTTATTTAGATTTAAAGATTATATTTGTGTGTTGTACATTATTTATTTCTTTTATATTTTTCCTCACATACTGAGCACTGCATTCATGACATGAGCTAAAACCCCGCTCTTATCCTATTTAGCTTGAATGAGAAAGTACTCCCTCGTGTGGTTTTCACCTCCGTATGGGATAGGGGACCATTCTTTGAGCTCACACCTTATTTTCCTCGTGTGGTTTTCACCTCCGTATGGACATAAGGAAGTGTGTTCCTTCGAATTGAACTCAGTCTGAAGTCTATAATGGACCAGGATTGAGGGTTTGGCAGTCTAAGGGGGTACCAACAAAGGACAATTCGATGACCCTTTTACCTTAGATCCAAATCCAACATATAATAAACCTAGAACTTGAATCTAGTCAGAGCCTAACCCAAGAGAATCTCGTAAGGTTAGCACACAAAGAAAAACATGTTGAGTCTTAATTTACTTTATTTTCCTAATAAATGTATGTGAACTAGAAATCATGCGGTAAGATTTATTTCTCCAAATAAAGCATGGAACTAGATTACATGAGGTTAGGATTTTTATTACTACCTAATTTTCCTTTGTTTTTTTTATCATTTTCATTATGCATTACATTTTTCATACCATGTTGTTGATTCATGATTGATGTTCATATAGAAGGCTAGAAATATGGAACGAAGAGTCATGCATGAAGTAGAAAATAATGCAGATGTATCTGTAATATGTTTAAAACTTCGTTTTAGTATAAAAGATGTTCTAAGGAATCAGTTCAATATCAACACCTTTTTGCATACATGCATTTGCATTGCACAATTTGCATTCTTATTTTTGCATTTATGTATTTTTTACATTTTCATTTTACATTCACATCTTTGCATTTGCATTCGAATCTTTACGTTTGTATTTATATTTTCATTTTTTACATTTGCATCTTTGCATAGTTATATTTATAGTTTCAATCTTACATTATACATTTGCATTTTATTTTAAACTACTTTACATGCATTAAATCATGAAAACATGGGAGTAATTAGTGAAGGATTCTGAAATCAGGAGTTTTGAAAGTGCTTTCAAGAATTGGGGCAGGTCTCTAAAAGATTGAAAGCAATGAATGGAATATTAGCACGAGTTGGAAAGATTGAGAGAATCCAAGAGCAACTTGTAGAAATTCAACGAGAAATGTTTAAAGAAACAAGAATGTTCCAAGTTAAGTCCAGAGAACAGATGTCTAAGATGATGAGTATGATGATTACTCTATTGTATGGGGATAAGATGTTAGAAGACCCTATTGAGATGAAATGATGAAAGCCTTGGGAAAAAATCTGGATCTTAATGATACAAAACCTGTTAGTGAACTTAAAAATCCAACTCAGCTTCAAGATTTGGTCCCAGGGGAAATTGGTGAATTAATGGTGAATGAAGAATCAATGAAATAAAAAAGTTCCCTTGTGAGAGATAAACTTTACCCAAAGAAGAGGGGTAGAGAAAAAGGGTCAAAGGTTGATCAAGAAGAAAAAGAATATGCAGGGTTTTCAATTCCCTCCATTCAACTTTTCGAGTGAAAATTTTCATTCAAAAATGCTCTCGGCATAATTAATTACTCCATGATATGTCCAGCCACAGTGGCCTCCAAATGAAAAGGGGACTTATAAGGAGGTTCCTTGGATAAACGAGACTGGAACTCCAAATTGTCCAACTAAGGTTCCTAGTAACCTTGAGGGAAATTTCCAAGATCCTTTAGAGCAAGCAATTCAAAAGTGCAAGGTAGAAGAAATGGTTAAGGTTCATTGCTCAGAAATCATTGCCTCGACAGAGACTAATGTGATCAAATCCTGTGAAGAATATCAGATGCAAGAAAATGAGAAAAAAATAAAAGTAAAAAGGCTCCCATGGATGTAATTCGAGATTGGCCCATAGGTTTAAAAATAAAATGGGAAGATGCCACCATGAAAACATCTCAAACACCCATATCAGACTTTCTGAGGACAGATGGGGCTTTGGGCAGTTTAGAGAACTTGACGAATACTACGCCCATCACAGCTGCAATATGTGTTCAGAACAAGGACAAAGCTATTATCACCAATGAGAATTATTTTGAGCCCAACTTCCAATTGATAAACGAGGAGATGAGATCTGAACAAAAAGCTGCTAAGAAAGAAGTAGAAACTGATACGTCTGAGGAATCATCCAAATAAGCCCAGATAAGAGAAATAATCAAAAGATGGGGAGCAAATGAGGACAAAAACTTTGGTCCAATTATAAACCCAACATTCTACGAATGATAGGGCAAGCCTAATAAACAAATGAAAGTTATTATCTACCACTGTAGTACTCTCTACTTTCAGCATCTTGTTTGATCATGTTTTTCTTGTTCATTTCTCCGCCTTTTTGTGATAAATAAATTTGTGTTGCTTTTATGGTTATGTGCAAGGAATCAAATTTTAATCTTGAAGTTTTTTAGTATTGATAACTCTGTAAAAGGCCACATTTTAAGATCTTTTTACTTGAGTTATTGGATGTCTAAAGGCTCATTTAGGACCATGTAGACGCATTTAGAAGCATTTAGTTGCATATGGTGGATTTCGACTTGCCGTGGAATTTTATTTTTACTACGGTGCTGCTTTACGGGAAAGATATTTGTCTGATGGTGTGCATGTATTGATAGCAAGAAGAAGAGGAAAGAAAATGCCGTGACATAAGGAGATTGCTGAGCAAAATGAATTTGCCAAGTTCAACTGGAATTTCGAAAAGTGCTGTAAGTGCGAGAAGATATTTTTGAAGCCAGCTGTATCCGACTCCTCGAGAGCTCTGCCCGAGAAATCTACCTCGAAGATCCGCCTGGAGGGATCAGCGCTCTGCCCGCCGTTTCTGCTGATGACGCCACCTGACCCTGCAGATCCTGCCTGTCCTTGGGCGCCTGCAGCGGGATTTTGTCGGTCCATCAGCCAGCTACCCAGGCTGTATCATCACATGTCTTGCTCGACTCCCAAGCAAAGTTAACTATGGTTTGGGGAAGTCAACTCTTAGTTCAAGGGTTAATTTTCCCCTATAAATAGAGGATGGAGCCACATGGTTAGAGACTTTGGTTCCACCCAGATTTGAGCTTAAAAGTTAGAGAGAGAATGTCTCATCTTTCTCCATCAATCTTACTTGTCGTGGCATTTCTCCTTGACTAGCAGAAGGGAGTGGCGTTCTAAGCATCCGAGAGGAGCTAGTTCGCTAGGAGCAGTTCTTGGTGGCCGAGGAATGCATTTGGCAGTGCACGTTGAAGGCTTTTTCTCATCCCCTTAGTTCTTACTTTCATATTTTGTTAATGGGTTGTAAGGAACGAATGATACTTGCTTTGTGCTTGTTTATTTCGAACCCTACCATGAACTAATCCTATTTGGTGGGAGTTCACATGGATGTTTAAGTATTTATTTTAATGAATGGTTGTTGTTCTATGCTTTATACTATTTTGTTTATGAAATTTAATGCTTTGAGGTTGTAGGAGCTACGAGAGTAGCCTTTCCTTAGAAGGTGCTTAGGGTTCGAGAGAATGCCTTGGCAAAATATCTTTAGTCTTCGAGAGAAGCTAGGGAGGAACTACATAAACAAAGGGCTCTAGGTAGTAACTAGGCCTAATCCACCTTAGAGATAATGATAGGATTTCATACGACTAAAAGGAGTAAAGCATAACCGATAGGTTAGATGTTAATGCACTCGCAAAAAGGTATTGTTGAGACAGATCCTGTTATCTGAGCCAATAGAATCACTACAGGGGTTTACGA